ATAATGCTTTTTATTTTCAGTTCTGAGGACTGAACGTAGGCCCTCCCTCATGCTAGGAATGTTCTCTATTATTGAGCTGTATTGCTTACTCAATTCTGACTTTTTTTAAAAAAAGATTTACTTTTATGTGTGTTTGTCATTGTGGTTATATGTCAGTGTGTGCAGGGGCACACAGAGGCCAGATGCCCTCTCTGGGGCTGGAGTCACAGGTGATTTTAGCCGCCCAGTATGGATGCTGGGAACGGAACTTAGGTCCTGTAGAGGCTCATCAGGTGCTCTTAACCGCTGTCTCGTTAGTCTCCACTTTGGACTTTATGAGATAGTATTTAAGTTTCCCAGGCTTAAACTCATGATAGCTTGGGAAACCTTGAGCTTGAGTCCTCTTGTCTCAGCTTCCTCCGTAGCTGGGATAATAGGCATGGCCCGCCAGGTCTGGTTTATAAGTCTTTTGTTTGATTGTGATGTTTCTTGGGTTGTTTCTGGTTTGTTATTACTTGTTTTCTTGTTTTTGTTGTTGTTTTTTGTTTTGGGTTTGTTGTTTTGTTTCTGAGACCGGATCTCACTGTGCAGCTCTGGCTGTCCTGGTACTTACTATGTAGACTAAGTCAGCCTCGTACTCGGAAAAGCCGCGTGAGTGCTGGGTGCCCAACCTCTTTTGTGATGTTTAATTTCACTGTCGTTCTTTATATTGACTTTTTAATAAGTATAGTTTTATTTAGTAAATTCTTTATTCTTATAAATTTTATTTGGCTCCTGTATGCCAAATTGTCCAGACAATAACTGAAATATGAGAAATTTAAAAGAAAATTCTTTAAAAACAAAAAACAAAATTCCTCTTGCAAAGATCTTTCAGGACAGTAGATTGAGAAGTGTTGATCCACTCAGGCAACCAGAGCAAAGTCACTAACTCATAGACAAGTCAGTTCCTCACACCCATAAAAGGCACAGCCTGTCTTCAGACATCGGCTTTTAAGTTTTGTGTATTTGGAGGTGTAGAACTAGACAAGGTAACCATCTTGGAATGCAAGGCAGTTGTTTTTTTCCATTCTGCATGCTTATGCAGAGTGACTGCAAGGGGAAGTGTCAGCTCTGCTTCCACAGCAGTGAACACAATTTTTTTTTTTTTCCTGAATAGCGTTGGCTGTCCTGGACTCACTTTGTATACCAGGCTGTCTTCGAACTCGCAGAGATCCGCCTGCCTCTGCCTTCCAGAGTGCTGGGATTACAGGCATGCTCCACCATGCCTGGCCCACAAAAACATGTTTTAAACTTTGTTATTTAGGAACATTTATAAGGAATGCATTTATAAGGAATTTATATTAGTCACTGTGTCACTCACCACATAAATAGAAGAAGTGACCTCCAGCTGTGTGCTAAAGAGCAAAATATGTCCCCATCACTGTTAATTTTATGTGAATATGCTTATTTAAATCTTCAAATAATTTAAGTTTACATAGAGTCACCTCAGTTTCATTATAAGTTCTTTATTAAAGTTTGTTTTAAAGTTGCTAACTTCCTGTGATTGAAGCTTCTGAGGTGTAATGCCCTCCCATGCCTCGGCTTCCTCCTCTGTGCTCCATAACTTGCTAGTGTTTTTAGCTTTAGGATTGCTTTCTTTACTTTTGTTTTATGAGACAGGCTGGCCTCCAGCTGTAGCTCTTCCTGTCTCCTGAGTGCAGGAGCTGTGTGTACCTCTGGGCCCAGTGTCTTTTAGTGTTTTATTTTTCCAGAAAGTTTTTTTTCTCATGTGTAAGTTAATATTCTTTATATTTAAAGCATTTAGAAGTACTAAACAATGTTTATCTAATAAATTCCAATATTTGCTAGTGTTGAAGCATCACTTTGTTTTGGCTTAAGGAATTTTAATTTTCTTTACCTTAGGATGAACTTATGAGAAAAGATTATGAACAAAAGAGAACTGATCCAAAGAATCAAAGGAACATGAAATCCCTAACTATGAGTAGAAATACTAAAGTCAACACACAAGACAAAATGGTGAACAGATCTGTAATTCCAAGAAGATACTGTCAAAAGCAAGTACAGGAACAGTTTAGAAGTCCACCTGTAAAGAGCATGTCTGCCTCAGGTCTACAGAAAGAGAGAAAAGAAGTGAGATCCTAACCTGACTTTGTACATTGTACCTGGTCATTTTCTTAAAGATAGAAATAATGATGTGGATATGAAAAAACTTAAACTATGGAAAAATGTACAAACCTAGGCCAGATTTGTACCATTGACTGCATAAGACTTTTGATTTGTAATGTGGAAAACCACATGAAATCTGTACTTTTCTTCAAAGGCCTCTTACTGTGTTTTTTTTCTTATTTATTTTTTTGCTTTTTGTTTCTTTAATTTAAATTTTTATTTCTCTTTTAATATTTATTTTATTTTTATTTTACATGCATTGGTGCTTTGACTACATATATCTGTATGAGGGTATTGGATCCCCTGGAACAGGAGTTCCAGTTGTGAGCTGCTATGTGGGTGCTGGGAATTGAACCGCAATCCTCTGGAAAAACAGCCAGTGCTCTTAACCACTGAGCCATCTCTCCAGCCCCTGTTTTTTGTTTCTTAAGAGACAGAGTCTTATATGTTCCCCAGGCTGTCCTCAAACTCTTGAACTCAAGCAGTCTTCCCACCTTATCCTTCCAAGAAGCTGGGAAGACAGGCATACAGCACCATGCCCAGCTTTAGAGCGTATGCATCACAGTATGTAATAGGTATGTCTGGAGCAGCAGTTGCCAACCTGTGGGTTGCATATCATTTATTCTGCGAATCAGATATTTACATTATGATTCACAACAGAAGCAGAATTACAGTTATGAAGTAGCAACAAAGGCAGTTTCATGGTTGAGGGTCACCACAACATGAGAACTGTATTGAAGGGTTGCGAGGACCACTGCTCTAGAGTGTTAGTCATCTGATAGTAGTCAGATGCATGGTACTGAAAAGCATGTTTTTGTGCATGTTCTATTTTAAATTTAAAAAAAATGATGTTCAGTGCCTGGTGAGTGCAAGACATGGTACTAGATGCTTACAGAGACTTTCTTTATGGCTCTAACCCGGCACCAATGTTCCCTAACGCTAAGCGTCGATTATTGAGTAGACAAGTATGTAATTTAATGTTTGGCCCTAGTGCTTGATATGCGCTTGGTTGAATGCTACATTTCTGTGATACTTTGAGATTTGTTTTTGTATTTTACGTAAACATTTTGTCTGCACAGAGAAGAGCATCGATCCCAAAGGGCCAGTTATGGATGTTTGTGAGCCACCAGGTGTTCCCACCATGTGGGAATTGAGCTCTGTACTTGTGTAACAGCAGCCAGGGCCTTTAACCACTGAGCCGTCTCTGTAGCCCCTTTCTGGGGCATTTTGGTTACGGTCGAAAGTGGAGCTGCGAGTGTGTAAAGTCATTTAAAGATTGTTTGTATTATTTAACATAATTATGTAAAACATGTTTAAACGTTACTTTAGGAACTGAAAATATACATAGTAATGTAAATTTTTTATGTTTCCTAGGTGGAAGGTTTTACTATTGTTAATAGTAACTTTAACTTTTTTTCCGCATTGGTAGGGACTCTTGAAATCAACTACAGCTTTACAAGACGAGGATTATATGTTACAAATATATGGGAAGCCAGTTTACCAGGGCCATCGCAGCACTCTTAAAAAAGGACCATATCTCAGATTCAGTTCTCCGTCTCCTAAGGCCAGACCACAAAGACCAAAAGTAATAGAGCGAATGAAAGGTAAGGAAGCTTATTTCCTGTGTCTTACTACACTGTTTACAGAAGGAGCTTAATACACAACATTGGTGTCTGTTAGTTGTGCCCACAGCTCGGCCTCTGATGCCGAGGAGGAAACAGCAGAGCCTAAGTGTTCAAGAGTGTTTGTGGACACTTTTGTGTTTTTGTTTGTTACCAAAATGTTTTTACCAAACAAAGATGGCTTTTAATTAAATAAGAATACTTTCATTTATTATTCTGTGCCTTGACTCACTCAGCCATTTCGTTGGTGTATTTGGATATGGCTTAGCTAGACATTGAGTCTGTTAATTTTGGTTACCTTTTCAAGTTTCTCATCTTAATCTCAGAGTTAGTATGCTCCACTAGCTGTGTCACAAGTGGATAGCAGGCCACGAGGAAGAGCTTCAAGAGCAGGAGCTGTGGTGCTTGTTCAGTTCTTTTTTCTTTGGAAATGCTGCTTGATCAAATCCTACTGATACAATTTCTAAAAGCATACAACTTAGGATATTTACCTTAATATTTCTCTCACATTCTGGAGATTTATTGTTAAGATTATATTTGGAGTTTTGAAAGCCCTTCTTCTCCTCCTCCACCTCCTTAAGATGGATTTTCTGTATGGCCCTGGCTGTCCTGGAACATGCTCTAGAGACCAGCCTGATCGCAAACTCAGAGATCCACCTGCCTGGGCTCTATGATTGAAGGTGTATGTCACCACTGCCTTAGCCACCTGCCTTTATAAGTACATTTTTAATTGAATGAAGCCATGCTCATTTATTATCCATGGCTGCTTTCATGATGTATCACCAGAGTTGAATAGTCCTAGCCGAGAGTACATGGTGAGTTAGACCAGAGTAATTCCTGTCTGTCCATTTGCTAAGTTTGCCAAACCCTGGTCTATGTATTATTCCTACTTGAGACCTATACATGTATTAAATTGAATGAATCTTGCTGGGGAAAATAATTGTTGTAGTTCTAGGTGGCTAGTTAATAGATACTTGTTGAATTTTAAATATCTGCAATGATGGTTATTACAGGCACTAAAGTAAAGTCAGCAAGAACACAAACCGACTTTTATGCAGCAAATCCTATGAAAACAAGTTCTAAAATACAACAACCCATCACCACACTGCCTTATGGTGATCAACAATATTTGTTCAGCCCAAGTAGAGAAATGCCTACTGTTTCAGGTACCCTGGAAGGTCATCTAATTCCTATGGCAATTCTTTTAGGTAAGAAACAACAAATATAAGGCTGTAGGTAAGCGGGAGGGGGTTTCTTGCTTATGATCAGTAGCAGACATTATAAAGTGGTACTAATGAATATCACCTCCTTTCTTGTGTCTGGGGGAGCCTGAGAATGTAGCTTTTTGTGGTGTACAGTGATCTCTTAAGCAATGAATTCTTGCATAATCTCACTCACAGGAAATATTCTCTTGGTGTAATGCTATAGCTGACATGATTGACATGTCATTGACATACATAATAATGTAAGAAGTCAAGTTTTTTTAATATTGTCCCGTGTTAGGAGAGATACTTTAAAGCACTTTTATGTACTTTTGAACCTGGTTGTGATAAGTAAATGCTAGGTGATTATATATTCTAGGTGAATGGTTGGGTTTTTTCCACATATGAGATCTCTATGAGTCATCATATTAAAATCGGACAGATCTGTTGATGTGATATTACATACCTATAATCCCTTTACTCAAGAGCAAAAGGCATGAAACTACATGTGTGAAACTACATGTGTCTGGGTGCTAGGAACCAAACCTCAGGTCCTCTGTAAGAGCAGCAAGTGCTCTTAAGCACTAAGCCATCTCTTCAGCACCAAATATATTTTAAAAAATCTATGTTTTTATTTGTATGTTTGCATGTGTGCCTGCATGAGTTTATTTGCACCATGTGTGTGCAGGTACCCATGAAGGCCACAGGGCGTTTAGTCCCCTGGAACTGGAGTTACATAGGTAGGTGGTTGTGAGCCACCTAATGTGGGCGCTAGGAACTGAACTCTTCTAGAAGACCAGCAATGGCTCTGAACTTCAGAGCCATCTCCTTAGCCCATATGTGTATGTATATGTCTTAAATCAGAGATACTTTAAAGAGTTGCTATGTCAACTTGATTTCTAATACCTGTTCAAACAGGCTTTGTGGATATTATAAAGCTAAAACGTATATACATGTTACTTATAAACTTATATGCTTATAAGTTACTTACAAACTTATAAAACATGTGTACATGTTATTGGCTAGATTCTGCATCTGAGGGAGGAAATGCCGTTTTTCTTTTTTTCTAAGATTGTGTGATCTCACTTAATATATGTTCTACATCCTTCCGTTTTCCTGAAAATTTTGTAATTATAATATTGTGTTTTATATATGTACCAAATTTTCATTATCCATGTATCTATTGATGAACAGGTTGGTCCCACTTCTTTGCTAGAGTGAATAAAGCAGCAATAAACACATGGGAGGAAATGTCTCTATGTTAGGGTAGGGAGTTCTCTGGTATGTGAGGAATAAACTGGAAGGGTCATATGAGAGTTGTACTTTTAATTTTTTGAGAAATCTCCAAACTGATTTCACAATAGCTGATTTCATAATAGTGTATTAATTTCTGTCCCACCAACAATGAATACAGGTTCCATTGTCTCCAGCATTTGTTGTCAGATTTGTTGATAAGAGCCATTCTAACCAGGATGAAGTAATAGTTTTAATTTGTATTTCCATGATGGCTAGAGATATTGAATACTTCTAAAGCCTAAGCATTTGGGGGTATTCACTCCATTTTTTAAAATTTATTTTTCTTTGTTACAATTTATTCACTTTGTATCCCAGCTGTAGCTCCCTCCCTTGTGCTTTCCCAATCTTACCCTCCCTCCCTCTTTTCCTCCCAAGCCCCTCCTTCTGTCTGACTCTAGTCTATCAGGTCTCATCAGAAGTGGCTGCATTGTCTTCCTTTATGGTCTGGTAAGGCTGCTCTCTCATCAGGGGGAGGTGATCATAGAGCCAGCCACTGAGTTCATGTCAGAGACAGCCCCTCTTCCCTTCACTAGAAAACCCATTTGGACACTGAGATGCCATGGGCTACATCTGTGTTCTAGATTATCTCCATGAATGGTCCTTGGTTGGAGTATCAGTCTCAGAGAAGACCACTGTGCCCAGGTTTTTTGGTTCTGTTGCTCTCCTTGTGGAGCTCCTGTCCCCTCCAGGTCCTTGATCTCCCCCTTCTTTCATAAGATTTCCCACACTCTGTGCAAAGTTTGGCAATGAGTCTCAGCATCTGCTTCGATACCCTGCTGGATAGAGATTTTCAGAGGCCCTCTGTGGTAGGCTTCTGTCCTGTTCCCTGTTTTTCTCCCTCTCCGATGCCTATCCCATTTGCCTTTCTGAAAGTGAATTGATCATGTTACCCAGAATCCTCCTTCTTGCTTGGCCTCTTTAGGTGTACAGATTTTAGTGTGATTATCCTATATTATATGTCTAATATCCACTTACAAGTGAGTATATACCATGTGTGTCTTTCTGCTTCTGGGATACTTAGGATGATCTTTTCTAGTTCCCACCATTTGCCTGCAACTTTCATGATTTCCTTGTTTTTAATTGCTGAGTAGTATTCCATTGTGTAATGTACCACAATTTCTGTATCCATTCCTCTGTTGAGAAACATCTGGGTTATGTCCAAATTCTGGCTATTACAAATAAACCTGCTATGAACATAGTTGAGCAAATGTTCTAGCAGCTTTATTCGTTAATCTGTTCTATAAAACACTTGGTAACAGATCAGTTTTATAGATTAAAAAATGAGACATAAGGAATTTATGTCAAAGTGACACAATTAGAGTAAAACAGCCATTCAAACCCAAGCAGTTCAACTGTAGTGTTTTTAGTATGTACTTTGTGCTGTCAACCATTGTTTTTATTTAGTAAACTTTGTTACAAAAAAGTCATGAACTGGAATTAACCATACCCAAAGCCTATATATCTCAGTTCTGGCATTCAAAAGCTGTGCTGCTTCATGGTCAGTATCAAATGTATTTTTGTGCATTTATCCACTGTTTATTCAGTTTATTTGTGTATTTATTGACTGGCAGTTTAATTTCCTTGGTGTTTACTTTCTTCAATTCTTTGTAAATTCTGGATATTAGTCCCTTGTCTGAAGCGTAGCTGGCAGAGATGTTCTCCTATGCTGTGGGTTGTTGGTGTGCTCTGCTGACTGCTTCCTTTGCTGACCAGAAACTTGATTTTCATGTCATATCATCTGTTGATGCTTGGGGCTAGTTCCTGTGTTCTATTAAAAAGGTTCTGTTGGAGAACACCAACAGCCCAGGCTCTAAGATCAACAATCAATAAATGGGACCTCATGAAACTGAAAAGCAAAAGACACTGTCATCAGAACAAAACAACAGCCTACAGACTGGGAAAGGATCTTCACCAACCCTATATCTGACAGAGGGAGGGCTGATATCCAGAATATATAAAGAACTAAATAAGTTAAAAAGCAGCAAATCAAGTAATCCAATTAAAAAGTGGGGTACAGAGCTAAACAGAATTCTCTGTAGAGGAATATAGAATGCCAGAGAAAAACTTAAAGAGATGCTCAACGTCCTTAGCCATCAGAGAGATGCAAATCAAAATGACCCTGAGATTTCAACCTTACACCCATCAAAATGGCTAAAATAAAAAACTCAAATGACAACACATCCTAGAGAGGTTGTGGAGACAGGGAAACCCTCCTCCATTGCTGGTGGGAATGTAAACTTGTACAGCCACTTTGGAAATCAATCTGGCATTTTCTCAGACAATTAGGAATAGTGCTTCCTCAAGATCCAGCTATACCACTCCTAGGCATAAATCCAAAATATGCTCAAGTACACAACAAGGACATTTGTTTATTCATGTTCGTAGCAGCTTTACTCATAGTAGTCAGAACCTGGAAAATACCCAGATGTTTCTCAACAGAGGAATGGATATAGAAATTGTAGTGCATTTACACAGTAGAATACTACTCAACAATTAAAAACAAGGAAATCATGAAATTTGCAGGTAAATGGTGGGATCTAGAAAAGATCATCCTGAGTGAGGTACCCCAGAAGCAGAAAGACACACACGGTATATACTCACTTATAAGTGGATACTAGACCTATAAGATAGGATAAACATACTAAAATCTGTATACCTAAAGAAGCTAAACAAGAAGGAGGACCCTGGGTAAGATGATCAATCACTTAGGAAGACAAATGGGATGGACATTGGAAGAAGGAGAAAACAAGAAACAGGACAAGAGCCTCCCATAGAGGGCCTCTGAAAGACTCTACCTAGCAGTGTATCAAAGCAGATACTGAGACTCAACCAAACTTTGGGTAGTATGCAGGGAATCATATGAAAGAAAGGGGAGTTAGTAAGACCTAGAAAGGACAGGTGCTCCACAAGGAGAGCAACAGAATAAAAAAAACCTGGGTACAGGGGTCTTTTCTGAGACTGATACTCCAACTAAGGTCCATTCATGCATCTAACCTAGAATCCCTGCTCAGATATAGCCCATGGTAGCTCACTCTCCAAGTGTCTCCTAGTAAGGGGAACAGGGACTGTCTCTGACATGAACTCAGTGGCTGGCTCTTTGACCACCTTCCCCTGAGGGAGAGCAGCCTTGCCAGGCCACAGAGGAGGACATTGCAGCCAGTCCTCATGAGACCTGATAAGCTAGGGTCAGATGGAAGGGGAGGAGGACCTCCCCTATCAGTGGACTGGGAGAGGGGCATGGGAGGGTGGGTGGGAATTGGGAGGGAATGAGGAAGTGAGCTACAGCTAGGATACAAAGCAAATAAAATGTAATTAATATAAAAAAGTAATAATAATAATAATAATAAAGGTTCTGTTGGGTGCTGGAGAGATGGCTCAGTCGTTAAGAGTACTGTTTGCTCTTTCAGAGGACCCAAGTTCAACTCCCAGCACCCACATTGCAGCTCACAACTGTCTGTAACTCCAGCTCCAAGGGACTCAACACCCTCTCATAGACATATATGCAGGCAAAGCACCAATGCACATTAAAATTTAATAAGATAAAGGTTGTAGCTACCCCTGTATCTTGAAGGGATAGGTGTGTTTTCTTCTAGAAGTTGTAGTATTTCAGCTTTTAAAGTCTTTGATCCATTTTGAAACCTGTTTTCGTATAAGGTGAAAAATAAGAATCTATTTTCATTCTGTAGGTAGAAACCCAGCTTTGCCTGCACCATTTGTGAAACAGGCTATCTTTTTTCCAGTAAACATTTTTGCCTCCTTTTTCAAAAATTGAGTGAGGATGGCCATTTTGTTTCTAGGTTCTCTATTTTATTCCATTGGTCTATCTGTCTGTTCTTATGCCAGGACCAGTCTCTCTCCATCACCTTGGTTTTATAGTATAATTTGAGATTGGACATTGTGATATCACCACAGTGTTCTTACTCCATAGGATTGCTTTGTCTATTTATGGTCTTTCCTAATTACAAATGAATTCTTGTATTACCTTTTCTAAACCTGTGAGATATGACAGTGGAACTTAGGTAGATATTGCATTAAATTTGAAATGAATTTTAATAGTATAGTCATTTTCACAATATTAATTCTGCCAGTCCAGGAGCGTGGAATGTCTTTCTATCGTCTAGTATCTTCTATGATTCCTTTTTAATAATATTTTGAAGTTTTTGTTATAAAGGCCCTTCACTTTGTTAGGTATATTCCTAAACACATAATATTGTGGAGTTATTTTGAGTGAAATATTTTTTCCTGATTTCTTTCTCTGAGAGTACACTGTTAGTATATAAATGAAGGCTACATTTATTTGTTTGTTTATTGAGACAGAGTCTCACACTAGTCCATGCTGACTTTGAATTCACTATGTAGCCTAGACTGGCCTCAAACTTAGAGCACTCCTCCTGCCTCAGTCATCTGGGTGGTGGGGTTATGGGCTTGTTGCTGCATCCTGAGGCTGCAGACTCAGGGACATGGACCTGGCTGGGTCAGCAAGAGAATGAAGACAAGTCAAACACAAGATGACATACAGAAAAGCTGGGGTTCAGGGAATGTTAGTGAAGAGACCTCTATACCCGGGAAGCCCCCTTTTTATTACATACAGTTGAACAGAGAGGCTGGGGTTATTGAATAGAGCTTAATAAAGAGGTCGGGTTAGTACCAACAGAGAAACAAGGAGACAGGCTTAGTTAACCTTAATTGATTCAGTCTCTGTAGGGGGGAAGCCCGGGAAGAGAGCGTTACGGTGGACATTTTCTACACGCACTATCTATGTTTGCACTTGGATGAGGAAGTCAGCCTAGCGTTTCCTGAGCCTACACAGGAGGAAGCTTTGCCATCTTTCCATGGAGCCGAGGCTTTGAGGGCCTTGAAATGATTGTGTCCATGTCAACAGCACATGTTCACTAAGGGCTTCCTTGGGCCACTCTGCCCAGCTCCGTCATCTTTACCTTGAAATGTAAAAACAAGCAGGACTTTTGAAATTAATCCTGACAGTATGGAGAATGTCCTAATATGTAGATTTTTTGTACTTATTTATTTATTTATTTTTATATTAATCACAGGTTATTTACTTTGTATTCCAGCCGTAACCCCCTCCCTCATTTCCTCCCAATCCCACCCTCCCTCATCTCCTTCCTACCCCTCTGTAAGTCCACTGAGGGGGGAGGTCCTCCTCTCCTTCCATCTGATCCCAGCTTCTCAGATCTCTTCAGGGCTGGCTACAAAGTCCTTTTCTGTGGCCTAGCAAGGCTGCTCCTCCCTTAATATGTATATACTAACATTTATTTTAAGAATTAAGGTAGCAGCCTGGCACAGTGGCACACACCTGTAATCCCAGCACTCAGGGAGGCAGAGGCAGGTGGACTCTGTGAGTTTGAAGGCAGCCTTATCTACAAGGTGAGGCCAGGACAGCCAAGGCTACCCAAAGAAAAACAAAACAACGAAAAACAACTAAGATAGCATATGTGAAGTGGGCATTACATGCAAGGTTGATGTGAGCACATGTGCAGACAGTGGTGATGAAGAGAGGTAATTGTGAGATGCTGCTTTTCTTTTGTGTGCAAGAACAGTCACAAAGATCCAGTCGCTTGACTCTTCTCTACCTTATATTTCATAGGACAAACCCAAAGCAATAGTGAGTCCATGCCACCTGCTGGAGTAATGGTAAACAGGCCACATCCTGTAACTGTGACTACTTCTGTTCCTCCAACATCTCAAAAAGTAGCATCTGGAGTCAAGAAACCTAATATAGCAGTAATAGAAATGAAATCAGAGAAGAAGGAGCCTCCCCAGCTCTCGGTCCAGGTATGCCAGGGTGCGTGAGCAGACCCGTTACAGCCTATGTAAGTGACGTAAACCATTGGAACCTAGAACTCATTACATAACTTTATGAGGCCTTTGCTTTCATTGAGGTTCCTTTGTGACTGTGGAACTGATCCTAATGAGATGCTTCTATCCCTGCTCTGCACCATTTAAGTTTGCTTCTAAGTCAGTAATCCATATTCAAGTGACAGGACACTGTTCTAAAGGAATGGTTGAACCAAGCACTGTAAGTAACTTTTAAAAAGGAAGTACAAGCACTCAGGAGGCAGCCATAGGAGGAGTTCCACAGGTACAAATCCAGCCTCATTTACCTAGCAAGTTTTTAGCTAGCTAGCCAGCTAGAGCTACACAGGGAGTCACTGCCTCGATAGTAAACAAGCAAGCAAACTAACAAAACCCAGACAAAACAACATGGTCTATAAAAGAAACAAGAGAGTTAATGAAGGCTGTGGCTAATATAATCAATACTTAAAACTTTATACAATCATAGGACATAACTGAATGTAGAAGGAACTCATTTTTATGTGCAAAAATATTCAAGTTAACTGTTCTTCCCAATTTAATGTGCAATCTTAGTGAACTGTTATTTTTTTTTAAAAAATAACATGAGATTTTTATTTTCTTAAACTTGAACTTTCGGATAATTATGATATCTGAAAGAATAAATGGTTTAGAAAGGACTTTTTTTTTCTTTTTCATGAGCCAGGCATGGTAGCTTATTTGAGCCAACTTTTGAGAGGTAGAGGCTGAAAGATCAGGACTTTAAGGACATCCTCAGCTACAGAAGCAAGTTCAAGGTCAGGCAGCATAGGTTGTGTGAGACCAGTGGAGGTTACTGGACTACTGTAGTGAGATTTCAGAATTCACTTTATTATTTAGGAAGCATATATAACATGATGGAGGGAAGGCTTGTTACAAGTGAAATAATGTGTGTTATATTTAGCTAATGACATAAAAGGTTAGTTTTAGACTCCAAGTTCTTACTGTGCAGCACATGAGCTTCACATTGGCCAGTTCAAATTATAAAATAATAAATTAAAAAAATTTGAAGATAATTTCATTCAATTTTTTATTAAAACTGAAGCAAATTCTGGATGTTGGGGAAGATGCTTTAGATACAATGGGAAAGAGAGGTTTAAATCTAAAGGTTATACATGTCAAAGAAATTTAACTAAAAATGAGAACAAGATACATAAAGAATTTGTTTTTAAATACAAAGACAAGCAGTAATATAAGTTAATATAAGTTATAAGATATAAGTAATATAAGTTAATATAAATAATATAAGTTATAAGAAAAAATAGATCCAAATCCAGGTGTTGTCAGAGCACGTGAATGAGATTCTATAGGAGAGCTAAGTACATTTAAGAACAAGGAAATTAGATAATAAGTTTTGCTTATAGCTAAGATAGTAAAAATTAAAATAATGATAATATACAATGATAATATACAAAACTGTTAATTCTAGCTGAGGATGAAACTTACAATTATGTTTTTGATGATGTAAACAGAAATTGGATAGGATTTTGCCAATAATTATTAAGAATATTGAATATTTATGCACGGTGGCCCAAGAAGTTCATCAAAATCTGTTACCATGATGTAACTCAAACTTTGGGAAGGAAACACTGCATGTACGAAGATGTTGGGATTTATATGTAATAATGGGGAAAACTGCCGATAAGGAATATGATTAAATAATTGTGGAATGTATAACCCTTGAAATGTTATGCAGTTATTTTAAAACAAAGTCTGCAGTAAAGCAGGATAAGACAGCTGGTGGCACAGGCCTTTAATCCCAGCACTCAGGAGGCAGAGGCAGCTGCCTCTCTGTGAGTTCAACACCATCCTGAACTATGGAATGAGTTTCAGGACAGCTAAGGCTACACAGAGAAATCCTGTCTCAAAAGATTAAAAAAAAAAAAAAGAAAAGAAAAAAGCAGAAGAAACAGGAATAAGATATAATATGCTTTCATACTTCAAAATGTCTGTTAGCCGCAATAAAAATTTAAAGTGCATGTTTTGTCTGTTTTTGACAATTACTTAAGTCATAGTGGTAAACAGAAAGCCAGATGTTGTGTTCTGTTGTAGATCCTACCTAGTGTGGATATTGACAGCATTTCACACAGCAGTATTGACGAAATGTCCCCTCCACCAAGCCCCAAGGAAGCCTCTCTTCCTCCATTGCACGCCTGGATCCAGGTAGGTTTCTGAGTTCTCGCATATCGTTAACTGTCACTCCATGCAGAGCTCTTAGCATATCACAGTTATTATGGTGGATGCGATGGTTCATACTTTTAAGCACCTGAGGCAAAGGCCACCAGATCTCTATGAGTTTGAGGCCACCCTGCTCTACGTAGTGCGTTCCAGCCAGAGCTACATAATTCACAATATGTAACAATAATTTAGGTTTATGACAAAATTGAAATGAGTGTCAAATTTGTCTGCAGAGTTCTAAAGAAGTTGGCTTGAGATCTTTATAGATATTCAGAACATAGTAATTCTTAGCATAACATAATAATTGTGAGACTCTCACAGGTAATTTCTGTATCTTTGATTTATATGAAAATACTTGACTTATATGAAAATTATAAATTGGAATATAGATTTCTATATATTTGCTTATTGTGTGTGTCTGTACATGTGTGTATGTGTATATGTGCGTGTCCACCTGCACGTGTATGCATGCAACAGTGTACATGTGGACGTCAGAGGACAGCTAACAGGAGTCTCTGTTTTCCTTACACCACATATGGGTTTCGGGGATCAAAGCTGGGCTTGACTGCAAGTGCCTTTTCCCATCCAGAATTTGAGTTTTAATAGTGACAAGAAGTGTTTATATTTTGAGATGTTAAATATCTTGTCACATTGTTGACCTATAAAAATAGACATTTTTTATTAATTTGCTTCTGAATAATGATATTATGACTTTTATTACAGCAGTATGGCACTGTAACTTGTGCCTGGTTTTGTCTAATATAGCAAATTGATTATTGAGTTTATGGTTTTTAAAAATATCAAAAATTGCTTGATGTGACGGCAGAAGAAGGCAGATCCTTGTGAATTTGAGGTCAGCTCCATAAGGGCTAAGACCCTGTCTCAAAAAAGAAAACAAACAAACCAGAAACAAAAGCCAAAAATCAGCTGGGCACATCTGTGCACACCTATAATTCCCAGCATGTAGGAAGCAGAGACAGGAAGATTTCTGTGAATTTGAGTCCAGCATGGTCTGCTGAGCCAGCTCAGGAGAGCCAGGCTGACACAGTGGCACCCTGTTTAAAGGGGTTGGGGACAGAACTCAAAAATATTTCATGATCATGAACACTGTAATATAAATGGAATTTATACCTAATCTAACTAATAAACTTTTTATAAGTAATTTTGTTTTTCTCTGAAGTATATTAGAACATGTATGATAACAAATAATACATTTTGGAGTATGTATAATTCTGTTCTCAGCAAGAAACTCGTCATTTTTCGTAAGCAGATTTTATATAGCAAGGCCTAGATAGTAAACTTGAAGATAACTTTATTTTTATTAAAACACTTTGAAGATTTACTTACTCATTACTTAAATCTATGTATGTGTGGCCCTGTGTGAGGTTTTAGATGCACCAAGTCTGTGCAAGTGTGAAGGCCTGAGGGCATTGGATTCTGCAGCCGGAGTCACAGGCAGTTGTGAGCTGCCGGTCTCTGCAGGGCACGGTCTCTGTAATCTAAGTGCATTGCTGTTTGTGTGTGTTCAGTGTATGCGGTGCATGTGCGTGGGGTGTAGCAGGGTGTGTGCAGAGGTCAGAGACAGCTTTGAGGAGTTGTCCTCTCCTGTTATGCGGGTCTCAGAAATCAAACTCAGGTTGTCTGGCTCGTTGACAAGTACCAGGTAAAGAGCTATTGAGTCGTGTTGCTGACCCCATTTTTTTTTTTACTTTTAAAATGATTTGAATCTGTTTCTGTCTTTGGTGAGTCTGTGAATGTATACACCTTCATAGCTACACGTGTAAGCATTTCCCTCAGATGTAAAATTGGCCTGTTTGGTAGTCCTTCGCATTTTGCCCTGGAGTCTGGGGATATGGCTCAGCGGGTAAGAATGCTTGTGGCTGTGCCTGAGGACCTGAGTTTAATCCTCTAGACCCACATGATGTAAGGAGAAGCCTGATTCCAGTAATTATCCTTTGACCCTTCACATGAAGGCTTTGATGTCATTGTGGGCACAAACAAAATAAAATAAAAAATGTAATTTTTAAAAATTTGTATTTATTGATATAGTTTAAATGTCAGGCTGGTATTTGTGTTTGTCTTTGGAGACAGGGTCTCACGCTGCAGCCCAGACTATCTTAGGACTCATTAAGTAGCCCCTACTAACTCTGAGCTCACGTAATCCTGCCATGGTCCCCGAATGCTGGAGTTAGGCAGTGCGGGCCACCTAACCCGGATGATTTAAAAAATATATATTTTTTTATTGAAAATAACTTTTTGGCCAGACAGTGGCAGCACACACCTTTAATCCCAGCACTTGGGAGGCAGAGGTAAGCAGATCTCTGTGAGTTCAAGTTTCAGGATATCCAAGGCTACATAGAGAAACCCTGTCTTGAAAGATCAATAAATAAATTAAATAAATAAATAGACAAATAAATGAATAAATAATTTGTTATAGTTTTTAAAATGATGAGATAATGGATTGGGGATTAACCTGGATTTCATTTACAAATTAAAAATCACTCTGAACAGAGTATCAAAATAATAGGGCAATATTAAGATTAAAATCTGAGAAATTATAAGTACTTTAAAATTGAAGGCAATAAAACTTTCTAAAATATTTTCTTAGGCTCCAGAATTTATGAAGATGGAAGAAGAAGATGTGAAGCTTTCAGGAACTAACTTTGAAGAAGTAATCGATATTGTTCAGGTAACAAAGCTTAGAGACACAGGAAATCATTTTCCTACAAATATTTTTCCAGGTGGTTGACTGTCTTTTGACTGTCACAGCTGCGCCTCAAGGCTGTGAGAAGTGAGTCTTCACTTTGATGTAAATAGACTTTAACTTTTATATATGCTCATTTAAATTTCTTTTAGAATTTGTGACTTTTTTTTTTCTGTAGTATGCTGTTGCCTTCATAAACTTAATGGTAGTCCATTGTTTCCCTCCTGGAACATACCTGCTCCCTTCATTCCTCCGCCTTCCCTCTCTCCAATCTATTAAATTTAACCCTTCATTTCGGGAGGCAATAGTTAGGTTTATATTGAGAGAAAACTTTAAAATATCCAAAAATTTAAGGAAGACCCTGTATGCATGTCATTATAAAAATGATGGAAATAATAAAATGGGAGAGAAAGATAGGAAAATGTAAAACACATGAAAAATGGAGACACATACACACAAGATTATTTTAATATTATGAATATGGCATTTAGCATTAGGGAGAATACTTTTCACATTTCTTTGACTTTCAGACTAAGACTGACTTTGTTAATGAGGGGCCAGCGAGACGACTCAGCGGTGAAGAACATCAGTGCTCGTGCAGAGGACACAGTTCAGTGCTCAGCACCGCGTGGTGACTCACAGTTGCCTCTAACTCCACTTGCAGAGGATCCAACTTCTTATGACCGCCGCTGGCACCTGAACATGTGGAACACACACTTAAACTCAGATACATACACGTACACATAAAATACATACATGTTTTTAAACAAAATCTTATTTTTTAGAATATGCAGAGGTATGCATTGTACCCAAGATATGTTTCCTCATGTGAATGTTAGCTAAGTATTTTGAAGCTAGGAACCTTGTTTGTCTTTATAGTCCTCACATGTTGTTGTTGTTGTTGTTACATAGAATTGTTTTTTTCAATATATAAATAGAAGAAAGAGTTATAGAACTAACAATGGATTTGGGGTTGAGTGGTAAGGGCTCCTCGTGCTCTAGCTCTCTCACTTACTACCTAAGGGCTTTATTCCTCCAGAGGATATTGATGAGCTGGGATATTTAAAGAGTCTAGACATTGTTGAGATGCTTGTATAATTATAAATAAAATTATATCTGTGATTTGGATTAAAATGATCTGTGACAGAGAAAGTGGATGGGATAGACAAGTTAGGTGGCAAAGTAGACCGTGAGTTGATAATTGTTGAGTTTGGGGACTAGACACATGTAATTCAGATCATTTATATATAACATGTTGTACTTAGGCATTATTTTATTTTTAAACATGTAACATTTATCATAAAGAAAAGTTTTGAAAAATCAAAGAAATAATTTTGGGATGTGACATCATGATGAAAATAATGTGTAAGATAAACTATATGTATGTAAATTGCAGGTTCTGAAAGAATGAAATAATTGGGATCATCAGGTTTTTGTGATAATCAAGTTCATAAATTCCTGTATATTTCATAGGGTTTAATGCTAGAATCCCCAACTTTTCTAGCTTTATGACTATAAAGAACGGATACTGATTTTTTATATGGTGTGTATGGTGATGTGCAGTGAGACTCAGGTAGGCAAGAATTCTACCACTAAACCGTACCTGGAACCTGAGCAGTTTACAGAAGACAAACTGTGTGGATGCATTTTCCCCATTGTCATGTGTGACTTTTGTTTGTGTTGGGATAAGGGTAGTGTGTATGCTATATTTAATGTCATACCACCCAAGCAGAAGGTTATTGACTGGTTTGTGAATGTTGGTTAATTTCTAAAGCCGAGTTCTTTGCCTATGCTTGGCACTTAGTACATGTTGAACAGGTACATGAAAATGATAGTTTGGTTTTTCTTTTGTTAGCAGGAGGAGGAAAAACGTGATGAAATTCCTGAATGTTCTGCACCAATGTTGGAATTTAATAGAAGTGTTAAAGTCGCTCCTACAAAATATAATGGTCCTTCATTTCCTCCAGTGGTTTCTGCTTTTCATCCCACTACTGATATCTTGGATAAAGTAATTGAGAGAAAAGAAACATTGGAAAATAATTTGATTCAGTGGTGAGTTTATAATTCTGCTGGTGTGAGTAGAATTAGAATAGCACATATAAATGGAAATGGCTTAGAAGAGTATTCAGTAAGAGTGAAAGATGGTACCCTGCTGTTTAGATAAAGCAAGAGACGCAGTGTAAACCTAGTGTATAAGACCTTAAAATAAATTTGCACTGAACAAATGTTTGAAATATATATCAGGTTATCAACTGTACTTATCTCTGACTATAGGATTATGAGTGAACCTTACCAATTTAAAGAAAAAAAAAAAAACCCTTATTTTCTAAATTTTCCACAATGAACCTCTCACATTTATAGAGCAGTAATTTTTACTATGCCTATTAGCTGCTCTAAAGAAGTGTACTGAAGAAAGTCGCCTGCTCTGTACTCTTTGCTTTTCCTTTGACCTTCCTAACAGTGACCTTGGAATACATGTTTCTTTGTTCTTCAAGAAAAGAGTGCTACCCTGTATTGCAGTCTGTTTGTTTATGTTTTTGTTAAGGGGAGACCAGGACTTTTTGTAGCATTTTTTAAACTAAAATCACTTCACTCTAATTCACAAACAGAAGCATCACATGGCTAGTTTAAAGATGCTGTTTAAACACTTGCCTGGTCCCAAAACTCTGCTCAGTGAACCTTGTGGAGCTTTGATCTGATATGACTTGATATATGCTCCCTGAGTGAGAGGTACATTTTTCAAGTACATGATATACTGAATAATTATCAGCCCAAATAATATGCTTAACTTTCTGTCAGGCTAATATAAAAAGCCGTACATCAATTTCATAGTTTGTCCCTCAGAAGGAGAGTTTCATGGGCTTGTCTTAGCAGAAGAGACAGGTACTTTTCCTTCCAGTTGTGATGTCTGGAAGGCTGTTTTTGCATGTGTGTGCTGTGAGCACAGCTTTTTCTTAAGAGTGTTAAGCTATAAAGCTGCTGCCATCCAAATGAGGATGGTGCAGGTGCAGCAAGGGACTCTGGGGCCCAGGGTTAGGAGTCTGCTGCAGTGCTTCCATGCTTCCTAGGGCTAGGGGCGGAGGCCATGGGTGTGGCCTAGGTCCCGGGGCTTGGGAAGGTAAAGCCGAAGACAAGGAGTGGATCCCTGTCACCACGCTGGGCTGCCTGGTTAAGGACATGAAGATAAAGTTCTTGGAGGAAATTTACTTGTTCTCCCTGCCCATTAGGGAACCCAGGATTATCGATTTTTTCCTGGGTGCATCCCTAAAGGATGAGGTTCTAAAAATGATGCCAGTGCAGAAGCATAAACAGGCTGGCCAGCGGACCAGGGTCAAGGCTTTTGTTGCTGTGGGGACTATAGTAGTCACGTTCGTCTTGGTAGTTAGTGTTCCTAGGAGGTAGCCACTGCCATCCGAGGAACCATCAACTTGGTCAAGCTTTCCATCGTCCCTGTGCAGAGAGGCTAAACTGGGGCAATAAGATTGGCAAGCCCCATGCCATTCTGTGCAAGGTGCCAGGCTGCTGTTGCTCTGTTTTGGTGATCTGATCCCTTCTCCCAGAGGCATTGGCATTGTGCCCAAGAAGCTACTGATGATGGCCGGTATTGATGACCGCTACACATCAGCCAGGGGCGGCAATGCCACCCTGGGCAACTTTGCCAAGGCCACCTTTGATACCATCTCCAAGACCTATAGCTACCTGACCCCCAACCTCTGGAAAGAGGTTGTGTTCACTAAGTCTCCTTATCAGGAATTAACTGATCTTGTGAAAACCCACACCAGAGTCTCTGTTCAGAGGTCCCAGGCTCCAGCTGTGGCTACCACATAAGGGTTTTTATACAAGAAAAATAAAGTGAATTAAATCTGGGAAAAAAAGTGATAAAGCTAACACTTTATACTTTTTACCAAATTTAGGTGTATTTAACTTTATACTTCTAGGGTAGAACAAGAAGTTATGTCAAGAATTATCTCTGGGCTCTATCCACTCCAGCAACAGGCCAGACTTGATGCCAGTGTTTCAGTTAGTGAGGCAAGCGAACCATCAGCTTCTGACATGGGTACGTGAGATGGAACCTGTTGTCATTGTTGTTCTTACAAGATAAAGTCTTTATTTGGTTACTGTGGATTTCTGTATCCCTGAGGTCAAATGAGTCCTCGGCTGTCTCACTTTCTGCTTCTCTGTGGGTGAGATTAGTATTCCATTCCCCAACTTATTAAATAAAGCAGCTTTTAGGTTGCTAAGCCATTCGCCAGAAATCTTTTATTCCTCCACAGTAATATGTATATGAAATAAATTTATATAAACATATTGTGTAAATAGATGTACATATGTTATTGTGGAGGAACTGGAAAATACTGTATATGTGGGTGCATTCATGCCTAGGTCAGAGACAACTTTTGGAATTCAGTTCTGTCTTCCACGATAGGTTCAAGGAGCTACTCAGGTCATCAGCTTTGGGAGCAGTGTCTTTACCCACTAAACCATCTTTCTGGCACCTACTTATATTTTTTCTCATTGCTGCAACCAAGTCCCTAGCAAAGGGGAACTTATAGAGGAAAAGATTTATTTTGTTGGATGGTTTGAGATGGTAGAAGTTGGTTGTGGTGGGAAATGCATGGCAATGTGAGCGTGATGTGGCCGGTCATATGACATCCTCACTCCGAAGGCATAGGAGTATAGTATAGGTGGTCACATAGTGCCTCCTTAGGACACTAGGAGAGATGAAGGCTTCATGCCCAAATCCTTCCTCTTTTGAGTGCAGTCCAGAGTCCTAGTCCGTGGGATGGTGTTGCCTACATTGAGGGTGGGTCTTTACCTCCTGTTAAGTCTCTCTAGGGATGTCCTCAAAGACATGTCCAGCACTGTCTCCTAGGTGATTCCAAAACCCATCAGGTTGACAAGATTAATCATCAGACACATTTATAGATATTGATATATTATTGTTGTCTGACATCTTTCTTCTCACTAGACTTTAGATTATTCAGTATTTAACATGCTGCTTCTTCTGCCCAGCCCTTTGCTGCTAACTAATGAGGCTTTAACTAATCACTCAATGGCACCACCACACCTGGCTGAAAACTAATTTTTCTTTTGCAAGCTTGGAGACAGCTTTTTGGTGAGAGTTGGGAGCTTGTATCTACTTACTCCTCTCATTTGGGCTCCAGTCTGGCTTGAATCTGTGCAGCCTGTGTACATGCTGCTTCAGGCTCTGAGTTCATATGAGTCCTGTCGTGTTTGGACACTGTTTTCTTGTGTCCTCCATCCTCCCTGGCTCTTCAAATCTTCCCACCTCCTCTTCTGCATAGCTTCTTGAGAGGAGAGATTTGATGATGGCATCTCATTTAGGACAGAGTATTTCCAAGTCTTTCACTCTGTGCACGTTGTCCAGTGTGGGTCTCTGTGTTAGTGAATGTTGGCTTTAAAGCCTTTCATAGGCATGCTGAAATCCATAAAACCATAGAAGTCAGGGATGGAATAAGGGACTAGTGGGGACGGGAGGATCTCTCAAGAAAGGGGAACTAGAATATACAGTGTGGAGATTCAGGGGGTAGAATGAAGTAGGAGGATTAAATGGGAATGGGGAGGGAAAGGGGGTTATAGAAAGGGAAATGGGGAGGGACAACTAGCACTAAAGGCCATTTTAGGTGTCAGACGGAAACTCCTGCTGTAGGAGTGTCTTAAAATACATATTATACATGAGTGTGTATATATGTGTGTAGATTTATGTGTGTGTATGAGAGTCATCAGTCTTTTTAAAATTATAATTCAGTTACTTCAAATTCACCAGTTCTGATTATACAGTTTGACAAATTTTTTTGACAAGTTTTAAAATAGTTATGGCTTTAATCATGATGTCAGAAAATTTTTTTGTCAATACCAAAGTATCCTTACGCTGCTCCGTAAACAGTTCCTAGCCTCTGCCCATGTGCAGTAGTCTCAACAACTGTGTTTAGCTTTCTGTCATTGGACTTGAATCTTTTAAAAACATTCATACATGACTATGATATAACATACATTTTATGTTTGTTGTTGGCTGACTTATTTAACACATTAACTTTTTTTTTACATTGACTTTGTGTGTCTGGGTCTGTGCTCTGTCTGTGTACACGTGTGTGCTACAGTGTACTGTTGTGTCAGAGGACAGCTTGCAGGAGTTGGTTTTCTCCTTGTACCGTGGTTCAGGGGGTGGAACTTGAGTGGTCAGGCATAGCAGTAAGCATTTTTACCTGACAGCCATCTTGCCTATCCTAGTATAATATTTTGGCAATCACGTTTTGCAAATACTAGTATTATAGCTGGATATGCCGTAATTTGTTAATCCACTTACCAGCTGGTTGACATTTATAGTCTTTTAGTTTGGATCTGTCATAAATAAAACTGCTAAGAATATTTGCTGACAAATTTTTGTATAGAGACATCTTTTAATGTATCCTTGTCATGTGATGAATAAATGGTTATCAGAACTTGCTGAGCGTTTTCCAAATGGAGGTACCATGTTAAGTTACAAGCAGTCGTGTGTGATTGTTGCAGTTGCCCCCATGTTTATTGGCACATGATAGCACAATGGTTATTGTGGCCATTTGGCCTGGATGTGGAGATCTCTCACTGCTCTTTATTTGCCTTTCTCTGAATATGCTTGAGTAGTATAATATACTACTATATCAGCTAACGATAGCTAATGGTGATACGCAGATTTTCTTTAGTCTGTGTGTGTGTGTGTGTGTGTGTGTGTGTGTGTGTGTGTGTGTGTTGGTCTGCGTTAGTTGATGTGCACCGAATGTGCTCTTTTTAAAAAGCACCTCTTCTTTCCATCTCTCCAGTCTTGAGATGGCCTGTTCTTCCTTTACAGCCTGACCTTTACCTTCCCAGGTGCTGCTATAGAGGCATGAGAAGGCTTAGCCTGCAGTGCCCCTGCCTAATGTACCTGAAGGGGAGAGAGGAGGCTGCCTCCTGCTCACTGCCTCCTTGTGGTTTGTCAGGAGTGGAGATGGAAATCTAGTGTCAATTTCACTAACTTCTGCAGTGGTGGGGAAGAAGTCACATTAAATAAATTTTTACTTGTGTGTTTTTCTCCCTCTTGGTTTGTTGAAAAAGGATGTTCATTTAAGCTGCTATCTTTGTTGTCTTCATGGCTAGTAGCTTTGCTTCTATTCCATCGTTCACTCCTCCTTCCACACGCACATACATCTCTATCAGCTTCTCTAAAACTTCCAGAAGTAAGGTTTGACTGTAAGCATTTTCCCTGGTATTATTTGAAGTTCTTATTTTTAAGTTGTAGGAACAAGCAGCGGCGCACTCCAGCTTATGGCTGATGCCGGCGTTCCCGTGAACTCAGACATGATCAACCATTTTGTGACTGAAGCTCTGGCTGAGACCATTGCTGTCATGTTAGGGGACAGAGAGGCAAAGAAGCAAGAGCCTGCTGCCCCAGGTGTTCCTGGGGATCTTTCAGCAAGTGAAACGAACTTATTGGTAGGAATGACTTTTTCTTCTTTTGTGACTTAAGAATTATGGGGAACTTTTTAGACATTATTAAAGACTCTGTGTGTGTGTGTGTGTGTGTGTGTGTGTGTGTGCGCGCGCGCGCGCGCGCGCGCGTGCGCTTGTGTGTGCTTGTCATAGCTCTCATCCTATAGTCCACATCGGCCTGGAACTCTCTGTAGTTCAGGGGGCCCTCAGTATATATAAAAGATGCTAGTACTGTATCTGGGAGTTATCACACCTACATAAAAAGATAGATTTTTGAACTTAATGTTATAAAAACATAAATTGTGATAGAATTTTATTCATTTTTGCTGTAATTAACACTTTTCCTAGCATTTATTACTATTTTTTTTGAGATTGAGTTTCTTGTAGCTGAGGCTGGTCTTGAAGTCATGATGTAGCTGAAGCTGCCGTTGAACTGGATTCAGGTCGGAGCTATCACACCCAACTTAGCTATTTTTTGTTTTGTTTTGTTTTTAGAAAATTTTAAATCTACAGAAAAGTTACAAGTGTGATACAGTGATCATTTTTTTTCTGTATTGCATTTTACAATTGATGGCACTTGATTACATTTCTAAAAATCTATCTGTATGAAAAAGTTATTTTAAGTGTATAAGTATTTTATCTACATGTCTGTCTCTCCGCTACTTGCATGCAGTAGCCAGAAGAAGGCGTCTGATCTCCTAGAATAGACAATAGTGAGCCTACATGTGGGTGCTGGGACTTGAACCCAGGTTCTTTGGAAGAGCAGCCAGTGCTCCTAACTGCTGAGCAGCCATTTCTCCAACCCTATATAATATTCTTTAAAAAATGTTAGAAAGTTGAGGACATATGACTCTACCCCAAAAGCATTGGCAGCATTCCCTAAGAAGAAATTTGCACTGTTTTTTATTAATCATTTTCAGTAAACATATAAAAATAATGGGTTATGGAGCTGGAGAGATGGCTCGGTAGTTAAGTGCACTGGCTGCTCTTCCAGAGGTCCTGAGTTCAATTCCCAGCAACCACATGGTGGTTCAAAACTATGTATACAGTGATCTGATGCCCTCTTCTGTCATGCAGGTGTACATGCAGATAGAGCACTCATATGTAAAATAAATGATTCAATCTTAAAAAAATTATGGGTTATAACATTATATATATATATATGAAATGTATATATATGTTTATATATATATGTATATATAATGTATATATATGAAATATATATAAATGTATATATAAATATATATATTTGTATATATATAAATGTATATATATATAAATATATATAAATGTATATATAAATATATATATAAATGTATATATATATTTCATATATATATATGAAATGTTATAACCCATAATTTTTTTCATATATATATATATTAGTTTACTTTGTTAATATTCTCCACCTCCTATTCCCTCTTTTGTCCTCCCTTGCACTTCTTGCTGAGATCATTGGTCTTCCTCTTCCTAAATATCTGTTTTGTATCTTCATGTCATATACTTTTAAAATCTAGATTCCACTCATGTACTTTTAATCTCTAAAACATTTTTCTTTTCCTTTAGTCTTTAGGAGAAAAATATTTCAGAGACTTCATTATTGTTTGTCTGGTCACCCTTGCTATGTTAGTACAATTTCTAATCGATTGTAGGAACAGGGAATGATACGAATCCAAAATTGACTCTGCTACCATTTAAAACTCTGCAACTATTTCTGACCCTGTAAACCACAAAGAAACTGATCTTTTATAAAGCTATACATTTGATTTTTTTTTTTTTTTTTTTTAGACAGGGTTTCTCTTTGTAATAGAGCCCTGGCTGTCCTGGACTTGCTCTGGAGAACAGGCTGGCCTCAAACTTAGACCTGCCCTTTTCTGCCTTCTAAGTGCTGGAATTAAATGTGTGCGTCACCATCATGGGGATTTTTAATTTTAATTTTTTCTTCTTTAGAGATGAGGTTTTATTCTATGGTCCAGACTGGCCTCTGATTCCTGAATTTCATCTCTTCTTGTCTCAGCTTCCCAAGAAATTGTGATTACAAGTGCACGCCACCACATCCTGCTCTCTAATTTTTGTTTTTTAAGTTCTATTAGAAAATCTCCTTGAGCCAGGCATGGTGGTGCACACCTTTAACCCCAGCACCCAGGAAGCAGAGGCAATGGATCTCTGTGGGTTCAAGTCCAGTCTGGTCTACAAAGAGACTTGCAGGACAGTCAGGGCTATACAGAGAAACCCTGTATCTTGAAAACAAACAACAAAAATCTCATTGCTTACTAGGTTTTAATAAACCATTTTTCCACAAAGAAATTAAGGACTTGGTTCTTAGATTGTTTATATAACAGCATAAAGCGCTACAAGAGTTGGTTATAACATGAATCTTGAAAGTTCAAGATTTTATAGAAATAAGTCTAATTTTGATTTGTGTAATTTGGGAAGGATGGATACCCTCTTCATCATCATATAAGTTTCATGGACAATCAAATAGATGATATGTAACCTAAGGTCTAGAACTTCGTGAATCCTCAGTTCCTAACTATCTTTGACAAGTTTTAAAATAGTTATGTATTTAATCATGATGTCAGAAAACATTTTTTGTCAATACCAAAGCGTCCTTCATGCTGCTTGCTGTGGTCGCCTTCAGGTCCTTTCATGAGCACTAGGTGGGGCATTTAATTTACAAAAGAAGTGTAAATGGATTTTTATGTTGTACATATATGTAATCAAGAAGTGGGAAAGAGAGTATTTATTTAAATAAAATAATTTGCTGTTGAGCAGTGTTATGGATTTTTAATAACTTCTCCATCATTTTGGACAATATTAGGCACATTCAGGGTAGTATGACTGTGGCCTCTTCCCATCAGTTTAAGTTGGGTAGTACTTTGCAACACGGTAAGGGATGTATAATGTTAGAGTGGATAATAATGTTTTAAAATGAACAAAGGAAATGACCAGGTAGTTCTCTCACAGGAAAGAAATACAAATTGTCTATATAACCTATAAAAGATGGTTAAGGAGCAATAGGAATTCTCATTGCAGCTGCTGGTCATGTAAAGTCACATGGTGTTATAGGGAAATTTCACAGGATCTGGTCAGAATTAAACACAGTTCTTTCAGTAGTTAGGACTGAAAACTCATTCCACAGATAAATCTATGTACCTGTAATTTACTTAGACCAGGATTAATTGATAACTCTGAGGAAAGAAACTAGATAGCAAGAAAACAGGACACCATTTTCACTGTTATTCTTTATGTCTTTGAATTTTGGAACCTTTTGAATATTAACCTACTTGACTAATTGATATTAAATGTTTCCCTTTTTTCTTCTTTTGCATCGGACTCTTGTTTTCACTCTCCTACCCTCTTCCTTTTTCTTGCCCCCACTATTTTTGACATGGTGTTCCCTCATTCGCAGCGGCTAATGTTTTGGTACCTTGTCAGTCAGAGTCTCTCTTTGGCCACCTATCGAGTTTGTCATTGGGTGTGCCACCTTCCTCTTCATGTTAGAAGATGGTCACAGGTTTCTCTCAGAGGCAGAGTTATTTCAGCTGCCCAAGTGTTTCCTTAGGCCAGTCTTACATTGGCAACTAAATATTTAGGAGCCAGAGCACTTAGGTGCCTATTTTATTGTTGCTTTGACCATCCCTTTAAATTCTGTATCGTCTAGGATTGAGTTCACATTACTTTTTTGTATTGTTTTTGTTTGGGTTATTATGAACACAGTGTTTTATTTTGCCAATTTATCTTAGGCAAGAGTTTATACCCCAGTAGCTACACCGCAGCCTACTCCTCCTTCTTCACCATCACCCGCTAAGGAGCACATGTTGGTGAAAACTCCAGATTCCTCTCCCTGCGATTCGGATCAGGATATGGCTTCTCCTATTAAAGAAATACGTACTGAAAAAGGTAGACACCTTGTTTCTTTAAAAACATTTCTCTCTCTCTCTCTCTCTCTCTCTCTGTGTGTGTGTGTGTGTGTGTGTGTGTGTGTGATGTGGAGGCCAGGGTAAATACTTGGTGAAGTTGGTTTTCTCCTTTCATCTAATGTGGGTGCCATACCATGATTGAACTGCAGATGTCAGGCAAGTGCTTTGTTTGCTGAGGTATCTTGCCTACACCTAAAAATGTTGTTTCCATAACTTAGTGTTACTTTGAGCAACTATAGTTTTTGCTTAGTAGGCTTTAGTAAATGCTTTTTCTTTCAAGGAAACTAAGGAATTGCTTGCAGCTTGACTGCTTATGTAGCTGCAACAGAATACCACACACTAGATAATTTATAACTTACAGGAAAGTCTGTGAAGTCAGATCAAGGGGCTGCTTCTGTTGGAGCCATCTTGCTGAATCATGAGTGACAAAAGGCATTCTGTCGCAGCCAGAGAGCAGAAGCTTGCAAGCAGGGTCTGACGTCTCCTGGTGCTCTCCCCTGTGGAGAGAGCATGCACCGTGTGTAGCCCCTCCTCCACAGCGCAGCACATGCCTTGAAGATTAAGTTTCTAACATAACTTTCAGGGGAGGCAGTCACATGAAAGTGTCATTTCTGAAAATACGTAATCTAATAACTGCTAAAACTGCTTTAAATTATGGTAGTTTTTAAAATACCTTCTCAAGGTTTTAATTTTTATACCTTAATAAATTTAGAAATTGCTTATTAAAAACCATCATTGTTGCCATTATGATTGTCATTATTTAAATGCCGAAGGATATCTAAAATAATAGATCATCTTAGAAAGTTATTTAAAGTAGTAAATTATTTTTACTAATTTAAGTTTTGAATATTAATACTTACATTAATAAGTCCTAAGTATTTTTGTTTTTAATCTTCAGGAAGTGATATGGCTGCCATCACGCTTGTTAGTACCCCAACAGTTACCCCTGTTACTACACCTCCTCCAGCAGCAGCTCTTACCCCAACTTTGTCAGAAATTTCCATGGACAAGTTGAAGTTATCAAGCCCTGAACTCCCCAAGCCATGGGGCAGTGGAGACCTGCCGCTGGATGAAGAAAATCCTAACTCTGTTCAAGAGCTTCTTCACCCACGAGCTATGTAAGCGAGAACACACACTTGCTATTCTGCAGCTCTGCCAAACTCACACTCTTTCTGCATGTAAAATGGCAGGAACGTGCTGGGGGTGTGGCTTGTTAGGGAGCCCAGGCCGGTCTGGAATTTTATTTGTAGCTGAGGTTGTTCTTATATTGGTAATCTCCCTGCCTTGGCCTCCTTAGTGCTGGGATTACAGGCATGTTTCCACCATTCCTGGCTTTAGTCTATTTAGGAAAAGAAAAAGAAAACTTTTATAAATTTTAAATATTTTAAAATTAAACATACTCTCTTGTCTTTGCAAAAGGTTTTACGTTAAAAGAATAAATTGATTATTAATGAAATATAAAATTATTTCTCTGGTGTAGTTGATCATTTACTGTGCTCAGTTAATGTTTATATTATTAAATATCCCATATTGATTTCTTTTGTGGCAATAGCAGCTTTCAAGATGGCCAGAATGTTGTTGATTAGTTATAATAGTGTAGATCGTAGAAGTACTTTGCTGAAAGAGACTGTTAAGTCTGTTTTTGGCATATGAATGGATGTAGGCCTTCAGTGACCTAGTAATTGAAAATGTGCCTTTCTCTTGTAGTGTAATGTCTGTGGCTAAGGACGAAGAACCTGAGAGTGTCTACTTCTCTGCTCAGCCTGCACCTCCAGAGCCTGCTCCCCTAACAGCACTTCCCGAGGGCCCCAAGGTCCCTTCTCGGCAGATAGCCAGTTCCAGTTCATCCACACTGGAGAACACGAGCGTCACTGTCACGGAAACAGAAACGTTAGATAGGCATATCTCTGAAGGGGAGGTCTTACTTAGCTGTGGTCAAAACTTGGCCACCAAGAGTAAGTTCACAAATAGTAATTGAGTTTGTTGGTTACGTTATAGTAGTTTCCTTTGTGATACTTATCTTTTAAAAGTGTTTTTGTTGAACTGTCCAGATTTCCTTTAGTAGAAGGAATAGATGTTCTGTGCAGAGTGGTTAACTTTTCTGGGCTATAATTTTGAAGAATAAAATCTCCCTCAGAATTCTCTTCTTTAGAATTAATTTTTGTTTTTTCGAGACAGGGATTCTCTGTAGCCCTAGCTGTCCTGGATTCACCTTGAACTCATTCTGCCTTTGTAATGCTGGGGTTAAAGGCGTGCACCACCATGCCTGGCCAAAATTAATTTGATAATAGCTTGAAATATATTCTGTCAGTGTATTTTGTCTTTGCATGCATAGACACCTAAATACATACTTATGTGTGTACACATACCTTTCTATAGGATCATGCTGTGTATGTTATTGTAAAACCTGAACTTTTTACAAAATAATGTATGGTAAACATACTTCAATGTCAGTACATGTGGGTCATGCCTTTTCCATTGGCGTATGAGCTAGTCAAGTAATGCCTAAGTGAAGGTATTTACTTAGACTGTTTTCCATGTTCCAGACTATATACCAGTCTGTAGTGACCATCCTTGCACCTATCTTTGTGCACTTCCCTGATAGCTCCTTTAATCTGTGTCTACAAGTGGAATTGCTGAGACAGATTGGTACCTTTAAATGAGCAATATGCTCTCAGTGTGCTTCCCGGAAAGAGTAACCAGCTTTCAATTTAAATCGGTTCTTCAATACGTTTAACAACTTGCAGCAGTACCCATTTCTCAGTTTATTAGCTAGTGTGCTACTTGTAGTGACTTAAAATTCTGACAACCTAGGGCTGGAAAGTTAGCTCATTTCCTAAGAGCACTGGCTACTCTTTTAGAGGACCCAAGTTCAGTTCCCAGCACCAACATGGCCGATAACAGCTGCATGTAAATATAGTTTTAGGGGATCAGACACTCTCGTCAGGCCTCCATGGCACTAAGCATGCATATGGTGAACAGGCTTTCATGTAGGGAAAATACCCATACACATAAAATAATAACAAAAACTTCAGGTTAAAAACCAATTCTGAGATGGGCATGGTGGTACATGCCTTTAATTCTGGGAGGCAGAGGCAGGCAGATCCTCTGAGTTTAAGGCCAGCCTGGTCTATGAGTGAGTTTCCAGAATAGCCAGAGAAACCTTGACTTGAAAAAAACAAACAAATAAAAATTATTTTCTACTTTTTTTTGTTTGTTTGCTTTTCGAGACAGGGTTTCTCTCTGTAGCCTTGGCTGTCCTGGACTTGATCTGTAGAACAGGCTGGCCTCGAACTCAGAGATCCTCCTGCCTTCTCGAGCTCTGAGCTCCAGGATCAAAGGCCTGCACCACTGCGCCCAGCTCTCAAAGAAGAAAAAAATTAAACAACAAAAACATTTCTGACAACTTAATAGGCAAAATAAAAAGCTCATGTTTGTTATGCTTGAGTAATTTACCTAATAATGATGTAAATATACACTTTACTAGTTTTTCTACTGAACTTTAAGTTTATATTTAATTACATTATATTTAATGTTCTGTGCTTTCTGGCCAGATTTCTCAGTAAATGTCTTCTGTTATCTAAACCACTGTCTACTTTCCTGTCTAGTTTTTGGAACTGGGGACATGTGTCTGATGACTCTGAATGACAGCTTATCCAGCACACTACAGGATGCCCTTGAAATGGTAAGGAAAGCCTGACTCAGTGTTGCAGTCTCACTGCAAGGAGATCTTGATGTCTTGTTGCAAATGGGCAGGCTTCCCTCGGTTGTTTGAGGTGTAGACACACAGTTTTGTGAAATGTTGCCTGTGAGTCCCTGTCTGTGGTCACAGACCATTCAGAGGCTCAGTTAAGGGGTGAGAGCTTCGTTACACCACCTTGCTTCAGCAGGGAAAGGAGGAAAGATGGCAGGAAGGGAGGGGATAGAGAAACCAGCAGTGAGGAAATTCATGGTTGCTTACACACTTCGTTCTATAATCCTCTGTAATGGGAGAGTGAACAGAAAATTGTTACTAATAGTCAAAAGATACATATTAATGTGATTAAGTAATGAAACCTAGAATTGATTCAGCAATGTTTGAGTGGACTTTTATTTACTCTAAGTCCTCTATAATAAATTTGTCACTTTCTTCTAGTCATAGTTATTCTTTACATATATGGATTTAAATATATATATATATATTTAATGGGTTGAAAATTAAAATCAAGGGGCTAGAGAGATGGTACAACAGTAAAGAGGGATCCCACTGTTGCAGAGGACCCAAGTTTGATTTTTACAGCCACCTGTAATCCCAGCTTTAGGGGTCTGATCTCTCTTCTGCACTCCATGGGCACCTATACTTAAGTGCACGTACTCACACACAGACACATAACTAAAAGTAATAAAAATAAATCTTTTAAAACTAAAGTGAAAATAGATTCATGGAAATTAATCACTCCTGGTTATTATCTAGTGCCATAGAAGGGAAAAATTGACATCTATAATGTCCTGCTATATATTTTACTTATATGAATACAGCTATCATATGATTAATTTTATATTTTCAAGTGACTTAAAGAAAGGTAATTGTACTCAGCTGCCACTCACACTGTATTCGTTGAGAAGCACTGTTATTATTGCTGTTTCTTTCAAAGCAGTATTTCACAAAGGAATATAAAAGTGCTTCATTAAGAAGTCTTGAAAAAATGGGGGGGGAAAGTCTTTTCAGAAGATTTTGTTTAAACTTTTTTTTTTTAAGAATGACTTGTTAAGTAACCGGTTGAGTCTTGTGGAGAGAGTTGCAGTCACTGTTATGAAATAACATGGGAGAAAACATAATTGTAGTACTCTCACTTTCAGGGAATTATGTATGTATTTGGCATGTTTAATATACCACTATGAGATTGTTACTTATTCTTAGAAATTTACCTGGTATTAAAGTAAATTGCAACTGAACTGTGACAAAATTATAACCTTTCTTTTTCTACATTTGAAACTATTTCTAATTGCAATAATGTTACTGAAAGCAAATTTGTAGTAAACACAAATGAAAAATACAAGCTAGGAAAACCCAGAGTTAACTGAAGCCTTGTAGCGTTAGACATTACATCCCTGTAATGTATCCAGAGTAAATAACCTTTATTTCGTTAAAACAGAATAACCAAAAATAATATCAATTTATTATATTTTATCTAACAGAAAGGATTGTTTTAATGAACTTTAAATCATATCCATCCTTGTATTTACAAGGAAATCTATTCTGTTCAGTGTCGAGGCTTCCAGCAGCTCTTGTTTTTCAGACAGGTGTTTTGAGGTACAGTGACACCTAAATAAAGGTTACAAAACGAGGGCTTTACGGAGCCCTGCCTAGTTTAGACAGACAGATGCCAGCACTGAGGAGGGGGACACTGAGGGTCTGTAGATGCTCTCGTGTGTCTCTGCAGCTTTGTGTTGTCTGTGGTGCCCGTGGCAGCAGCACCCCAGTGCCCAGCCGTTTTGCCACGCCCTGTCTCGATTTGCCCTACATAAATGTGAAGCAGGAGGCCAGGAAAGCCTTACACTCAAGTTCTGCCTGAACTTCACAGAAACACTTAGGAGTCACTGTAGCTTAGCTGTTTGAGACAGAAGCCCCCACTTTAATTTAAATGTAGTTATAAGTCTACACTTAAATTACTTTATAATGTTGTATACCTTGGAGGAAGATGTGAAATGTTTTTATTATGGTCAGATGGAAATGAACTACATGAAAATAGAGTTCATCTTTTGAAACATACTAACGTTTTATTAAGCATAATTGAGAAAAGTGGAATTATGTGATAACCTTTTTTATGTTGTCTCTGTGTCTGCTTTAGGAAGATGACCCTCCCAGTGAGGGGCAGGTGATTAGGAGGTCCCATAAAAAGCTTCATGCAAGTACAATTCTTTCTCTTCTTACTCAGCAAGAACAGGAATTACTAGTTTCACAGCAAGCAGAGGTACTTTTCAACCATAAAGATTTTGGAGGGCGCGGGGGCTGGATATAAATAGGAAAAGAATATTCAATTTTTAATTTATGTAAGACGGTGTTTAAGTGTTATAGACTTAAACTTAACTTAGGCTGAACTGAGCTTTGTAACTGAGAAAAATTTAAACAATCTGTTCCAATCTTTTATGGTGCGATTTAAAGAAAAAAACAAAAAATGAATCTTTAAAGATACATTTAGTGTGTGTTTAAAAATCTATTCCACACCCATATGTGCCTGCCTACACATGGACAAATGCACAAAATGCACATACACAGCACCACCCCACACCCACATACATGTGAACACACACATTAATTACTGTATGCCTTATTAAACCTCTTTTGAAAAAGAGCCTTCATGTAGGTATGTATGTATTGTGTGTGTGCACATGAAAATGCTGAGGTCACAAGGTGACTTGGCAGTAGTAGGTTCTTTCCTACCATGTGGGCTCCAGGGATTGGATTCAAGTTATCAGACTTGGCAGCAAGCATCCTTATGTGCCATATTGCCGGTCCCTAAACTAACTTAGAGTTGTTGGTAGTTCATGTACCTTAGATGTGACATTACGAGCACTTGTTTGTTGTGTATCGTGATATTTACAGAGTGTTTCTTGCTTTGATTGATGTAATGGCCTTAACAGTTTTTCTCATTTTTGAAGGACTTGGATAACAGTGTGGGTGAGCTTAGTGAAGGACAAAGGTTAGTGCTGACAGCAGCAGAGGACATCTTGGGACCCGCTACTGCTGCAGAGCCTTCTGACCGGCATGCAGATCCTGGGCTGGCGTTGCAGCAGACTGACATGGCCTTAGGTACACACGACAGTGTTGTTCTTGGTGTCTCTATGAAATATCACTTCAAATCCTGTTGCAGGCTCTTGTATACTTTCCATGCTGATGGCTGGGGTGTATTTTACATTATAGTCTATGGTTGTGCACTTTATTTAAATTGAGAAGTAAATCTCTGTTAGATGGAGCATTGAGTTCTTTATTAAAGATAACTTTTCTGCGATACACAACACTTTTTCAGAATATAATTAATGTGTCTTTGTTATGTGCACCATTGGAATATGAGATAGTTTTTGTAATATATACATAAATGCTTAAAATTTTTAGTACAGATATATTATTTTAATAATACTAGAAAGGCATAAATATATAATATTTTAATACTAGAAAGGCTTAAATACTCTCTCAGAACCAACAGTCCTGTTTAGGACGATGTTCAATGAGATCAAACCACTGTAGAAATTTATAGTGTGTAATTTTTTTTTCAGATGCCACGTTCAGTGCATTTGGGCTATCTTAGAGAGTAACTGAAATTTTTGTTTTAGCACTTTGGAAATTAATAGCATACAGTTAATTCTCACTCTCTGTGGTAGCTGAAGCCTATAAGTTAAGCATGCATATATTAGCAAACACCGAACCATTGCTCCTAAGAGAAATACAGAATTGGTTTCTAGCAAGCATCTTGTAACATTGTCAGTTGTTTAGTATATAACCTGACTTTATGCATATTTCTGTTTAACGACACCATGTTTATGTTATTCATTCACCAACACTGAAGTCACAGCCAATAGTGCTATAACTCTTGCCCAACAGAAGTGCATCTAACACACAGTTTCTTCATAGGCATGTCAGAGCCTTCTTATGCTCAGGAACATTGGACAGTAATTATCTTTTTAATTAGCTTGGGCACTATTCTAGGCAGCCAAGTGTATGTGTGTCTCTTTCTATATCTGCCTCCCCACATGAGTGGGAGGGAGGAAAGGAGAGAGAAGCAACAAGTGATATCACTAGCCAAAAAAAAAAAAAAAGATGCAGAAACATGAGCATAAAAATGATATATATTATGGCCATATTTATTTAAGAATGTATTCCAATATCAAAAGACAAATTTTAATAATACAAAAATTTGACTCCTACTAACTCAAATAAATGAAACTTATTTAGTAGTGCAGGCTTGCTGTACGTGCAATTAGAGCATTTGTAGAGAACTTACTGCTGGCTTCATGCTGAATAAGAGCCTTACATTGGTCAGAATAAACATTGTAAGAATAAACCCAGGACTGAAATTTCCAGCAGAATACACATGAAATTGCTGTTACTTAGAATTTTGTGATATGGTGAGAGCATTCTGCTTGTTACATACTTTCAGATTAGTTTTGTATAGGACAGTAAAATGGGACTGTGCAGAGGGCAGGAGTAGAGCAAACACTAGAGGGCTCTCGTAGATCACCTCTGAGACACACTAGCACTTAAACTGTTACAGAAGTAAGTCTTTGAGTTTGCAGCCTGTCCAGCACTTCTTCATGTCTCTGGTGTACCCAGAAGATCACATGTGGTGTAGTAAATTATCTTTGTATTTAATAAAAGCATATTTTTTAGAAAAATCCTAGTCATTTGACAACTATTATCTCTTTTTGAGACAAAGGTAATTATCTTAAAAGGATAATCATAGTTGAGAGTAAGATGGATTGTGTATACTTGAATACTTTTTGGTATGATGAAAATGTTTCATTTTTTTCTGTGCGTCTGTGTGTACAAATACCAAGTGAAACCCACTACTATTTTGTATACTAAATTTAAAAATTAATCTAAAAAATGGGGGGGAGGTAATTAAGAGATACCAAGTTACCTGAACAAAGACACATAGAGTTAGAATTAAAATCTTTTTCTGAAATTCTAACAAGGAAAATTCTCAAGCACTCTGATACATTGCCTCTTTCAAATACACTAGCACACACATGTAAGTGTGTGTACACACATCAGAGGCTAAAGAAACTGCTTTGCGGTCAAGCACACGCGCTGCTCTTCCAGCGGACCCAGGGTTACTTCCCGCACCCTCATCGTGAGTCTCGCAGCCGCCTACGACTTCAGTTCCACACGATCTGGCACGATTTTCTAGCACCCATACACCCCCCATATATACATATATACATATATGTATGTGTATATATACATATATACACACACATATATACATATATGTATATGTACACACACATATATACATACATATACATATACGTATATGTATGTATATGTATATATGTGTATATATGTATATACTATATATATACTATATAGTATATACATATATATATTATATATAATATAATTTATATATAATATATATATATATAAAAGGTTAAAACTCAAGAAAATTAAAATTTTGTAAATAAATAACGTAATGAACCCTAATTCTTCGCAAACTAATAAAAAGTTTTAAGTAAAGGTTTGTTGTTTTTTTTAACAGATTAGCCATTATCCTAAACTGTCTTTATGAACTTCCAATAGATGAATATTTTAATGTTAATGATTTCTGAAATATGTTAAAAACATTTTCTAGAATAACTTATAAATTATACTGAAATTAATTAGAAATAAGAAAAATAAAGTTGATATGATACTATTTTCAGGTTCTGTATGTTTAAGAATATGTTATATTCAGAACAGTCTGGTAAAATCATATGAAAAGGCCACTGAGATGGTTTAGTGGGTAAAGGCACTGGCTGGCAATCCTGATTTACACACACACACACACACACACACACACACACATACACACACACACAATATGTTCTTATTCATTCCTTTCAGCCCACTCACCTTTTGCCATCTCTTGCTGGTGCTCTTCCTCCCTGCCAGATAACTTCCCTTTTTTTTCCCAAGTCACATGTCCTCCATTACCCTTTCTTTCATTGTCACTGCTCCTTTAAGATCTTTCCCTCCTATCTCATGGTCCTCATTTACTGTAATCCCATATACACACAAAGGTGAAAAGTGCCATTTGTCTTTCTGCGCCTTCTCTAGCTTACTTTGCTTAACATAGTGATTTCAAGTTCCATCTATTTTCTGACAAGGTCATTATTTCTTCTTTCTTTACAGCTAAATAAAATTCTACCATGTTTGTGTATATTTTTCTTATCTGTTCACCTCTTGATAGACATTTAGGCTGTTCCCTGTCTTAGCTTGTAAGTAGTCATCAATAAACGTGGCTGTGCATGTATCCTGGGCTCCTGTGGGCTTGAAAGTCCTGTGGTTGAGGTGGGCCCTGTGGTAATCTTGTCTTTTCTTTGAGGAGCCTCCACGTTGACTTCCATGACAGCAATGCCAGTTTGCATCCCCACTGACAGTGAACAGGATTTTTTTCTTCACGTTTTCCAGCATTTACCTTTCTTTCTGGTAATAACTCTGCTGATTGAGGTAAAATAGAATCTCAAGCAGTTTTTCATTTGCATTTCTCTAATGGCTAGGAATATTAAACACTTTTTTGAATATGTATTGAGATTTGTAGTTCTTTGAAGAAATTGTTGTCAGTGTGTAGGGCTGTCTATGTACGTACATAGACATGTTTACCCGACGTAAGCGTATGTGCGTATATGTGGAGACCTGAGGGCAATGTTGATGTCTTCTTATATCACTCTTCACCTTGTTTATTGAGAGAAATGTTTCTTACTGAATGTGGAGACCCCCAGTTGGCCTGACTGTTCAGTAAGTCCTTGGAATCCTCCTGCCTCTGCCATCCCAGAACTGGGTGGACAGGCACAATGGCATGCCTGGCTTTTACATGTGTGCTAACATCTGAATGAAGGATCTCCTGCTTACAAAGCAGGCACTGTCCCTGTGGAGCCATCTCCCCTGCTCTGTGCATCTAAGAACTGTCTGTTTAGTCATTACTCCATTATTGTTGGGGTAATTAGGTTTTTTTAGTGTTTTATTTTTACAGTTTTTAATATCTTAGATATTAATCTCCTGTCTGATATGTAGCTCACAAAGATACATATTTTTCCCATTCTGTAAGCTGCCTCCTCACTCTGTTGGTAGTTTCTTCATTGTGTAAAAACTGCCTGATTTCTTATAATCTCATTTGTTTATTCTTAGACTGATTTCCTGTGTTACCATAGGAGTTGTTTCTACAAAGTCCATGCCTGTGATTTTATTTTTAAAGACCTGGTTTCCTCTAGCAATTTGAGAGTTTTAGGCTTTATAATAGAGTGTTTAATCCATTTGCAATGATTTTTGTTTAGGGCAAGAGATATGGATATAGTTTTATTCTTTACATGTAGCTATCCAGTTTCCCCAACACTTTGTTAAAGAGGCTGTCTTTTTATAATGATTATTTTTGTCAATGATCAGGTGGGTTTATTTGAGTCCTTTGTTTAATTCATTGATCTGTGTCTCAGTGACTTGTCTTGTTGCTGTGATAAAGTATCTTAAACACACCCTAAGGAAGGATGGATTTACAGTCCAAGGGGATCCATCACTGCAAGGACAGCACGTTGGAGGAGTGGGAGACTGCTGTCAACCTTGAATCCACAGTCAACAGAGAATGATGAAGGCTGAAGCTCAACTTGCTTTCTTTTAATTCAGTGTAGGAGCCTTGCCCTTGGCATGCTTAAGGCGGGGCTTCCCACCTCAGCTAACCTAATTAGATCATTCCTTGTTTTCTATGTGACTCTAGATTCTGTCAGATTGATGCTGTTGGGCATCACAGTTCTACATCTTATTAACTCTACACCCAATCCAGTTAACTTTTCACTCTTTGTCCCCGTAGCTGCATGACCATTTTATAATGAAATATTCATTTAGTTCAAAAAGTCTCCATCATTTTTAATAATTACAACATTGTTTACAAGTTTAAAAGGGAATACTTGGGACAATAGTAAGGAGTGCTCAAACTAAAGGAAGACCAAACTCAGCAGAGAAAACAGCAAATCCTGCAACTCCATGTCCAGTTTCTGGGACCTGTGATGCAGTCTTCTGGGCTCTAAAGGACTTGGGTAGCCCCTTCTTCACTCCTCCCTCTC